TTTATTTTATCAATGGATTTTTTCCAGTTGGAATTAATTATTTCAGTTGACGAATAATCGTAACCGAGTATGTTTCGATAAATCGTCTAAGTCTAGCCGTGTTCGGAACCGAGTCGTTCGGTCACGAGTATCGCGCCTAGTTCGCGCCTAGCCAATTCTCGAGCCCTAGTAGTCTCGAGTCTTGTTCGAGCCCTAGCCATGCTCATAGCCTTACTTAAAATATTTTCTAAGTATGAGATCATTTTATCGAGCCTTCGATATCATTCCCTCGGCCTAAGTAACCCCGCACCGAGCTCGTGCACGGGTCCGAGTCCTCGCGCCCAAGTGTCGCGTGCCTCGCCAAGCCGCGAGTGCCCAAGTCATGGTTAGTAGTGTGGCATATTTTTTCTAAGTGCTTTGGTTCCCTAGATGAACCACGAGTTCAGCCCTTAGAGTACTTCATCTCTCGGCCAAGGACCACGCGCACCAAGTCCAAGCCTCGCGCCTTAGTGCCGCGGGTGTGTGTGTATGTGTGCTTTGAGTCGCGCCGAGTAGGCCTTAGCTATGGCCGGGCATTCTCGAGATTTTTCTAAGTATTTTTCCTCCTTTGCTTCAGCCATTATTCAGCCCTAGATGTGCTATGGTCTCGGCCCAAGTATTTTTTCTCGCGCGCAGCCCAGGCCAACAGTTCTCGCGCCCAGGCCCCGTGCTGCGTGCAGCCCAGACAGCGCCCAGGGCCCAGCAGCGCCCAGGCCCAGCGCTGGCAGCATACCAGCCCACTTCTTGAGCCCAAATCCATAAATTCCGGCCCACTTCCCTCATGACCCAAAAGTGGCGAGTAATCAGGACATAATAAGGGTCTAATTGAGCTTAAGTGGCCCTAATGAAGATTAAGCCTAAGTCAAAGCAAGTGACTCCAAATATGAGGCATGTGCATGGAATATTATATTACCTTGTGTCATGCCTTGTCCCCACTACCTCTCATGCACGGCAAGAATCAGATGCTCCACCATTTGGCTGTCTTGATCAGTCCAAAATGTCCACAAAATCCGTGCAAGTCAGCTCATGGGGACCAAGGCCAAGTCCACTCAAAAATCTCCATCTCCCCATGCGCATGTGTGGACATTTTGTCCCCCATTTGTGAGCCTTGTGTACTCCGCCCCTCTCCCCATATAAGGGGCACTTCTCAGTCCACTTTCAGCTCTTGGACATCCTAAAACACTTAGCATAATTGTGGGAGAAGTGAGAAAACCGAGAGCAAGGCCTTAGCCCTCTACGGGCGCGCCTAGGACCCGGGTAAGGGAGAACGTGAGCCACACCTTGCTCCAGCCTATTTCACTCGAGGCTCACCAGTTCTAAAGGGTTTCTTGGATTATTATGAGCTCCCAGAATCCATCCTTTGCAGCTTTTAGCCATTGGAGCAAGCCTTAGCTCGAGAAGGCACTAAGAGACACGAGCAAAGGTCACCAACACCATTTTCGTTCTTCGGTGAAGGTTAGCTCGTGTTATCCATTTTTTCCAGCATATACATGATATTTTAAGATTTATCATGTAAAGAAAGGAAGCCATGCTCGCATTTAAAGTGGAGTTTCGAATTTTTGAAGTTTAGTCCCTTAAATTCGAATTTTATGATGCATGCATGATATGGCCGAGTTTGATTGCTTAAAAATCCTAAAAAATCATGAGTATGACATTGGTATAAGATTAGCATGTTTTGAGTTCATTTGTTCGGTCAAGTTGCTAAGTGAAATCGAGACATTTTCACCTCCGAACCTAAGTATATGTGCATGCATGTAATGACCAATGTTCTAGCCTCCATTGCCATGATTTTTGATGCTTAGTATTCGGCCCTAAGTCAATTTACATGTTGAGCATGTTCATTTTTATGCCCTAGTGTGGCCTCGTGCCTAATCGGCCCTATAAGCCCATCTCCAAATCCAACCAAGGTCCCTCAGTGACTTTTGGCATTTTTGAGTATATTATGTCATATTAGGTTGATTTGGTTCAGTAGTCCCCGGCAAAGTTGCCGGAAGTTCGGCAAAGGACCGGCTAGGATCACCAGCCGCGCCAGTCGCGCGTGCCGTGCCCGTGTGATGAAGATGTGGGTTTCGAGGCCCGAGCACGTTGAGGACCAAGGGCCGGAACGACCCGACAAGGCCGAAGAAAGGGCCAAAACCACGTATGCATGGCCTAAGAGACGGGTACGAGCCCGTATGCGAGGCACACAAGCACGAGAGGAGCGACATGAGCCGTGGACACGTGCGGAAAAAGGAGTCGATGACGAGCACGCGACGTCAAGCTCAACCCAGGCTCAGAGAGAGATGACCCAGGCTGAGGTAGTCGTCTAGTTTCGCGGCTACAACCCAGACAAGTTTTTGGGGCAGGGAGACCCTCGCCTAGTTGATGAGTGGATCCAGGGTCTCGAGGCCATTTTCGAGATCATCGAGTGCTCCGAGAGGCACAACATTCTGTGTGCCCAGGTCCAGATGACAGGAGACGCCAGACTGTGGTGGAACTTCTACTGGGGTTTGCGCCCTGGTGAGAAGGAGAACCTCACATGGGCACAGTTCAAGGAGATGCTTCGGGAGAAGTATTACCCGGATACTTACAAGGCTGAGATGGAGCGCCAGTTCTTGGCGCTTAAGCAGGGCCACGCTCAGTAGATGAGTATGAGCGGGAGTTTGTTCGTCTCGGGTCCTTTGTCCCTTATCTGGTGGACACTGAGACGAAGAAGGCGAGACGGTTTCGTGACGGGCTTCTGCCAGCTATCCGTCACCATGTTGCGGGACACGACGTCCATTCTTACGCCGATTTCGTCGCTAAGGTCCAGGAAACAGACGCCAGTCTTAGGATGGACTCAGTTCAGCCCCCAGTGTTGCCCTCAGCTCAGTATCCGGCACTACCCCCAGCTCAGCCAGCGCCTGTCCAGCAGGCGAAGGCTAAGAACAAGAGAAAATGAAAGGGTCAGCAGAATGACCGGAGGAACAGGTAGAGACAGCCACAGGTCCCACCATGTGGCACATGCAGACGCCCACACCGCGGAGAGTGTCTTTCTGGGCAGAACGTCTGCTTTCACTGTCGGAGGCCCGGACATACCGTCCGGAACTGTCCGGATAGACAGCAGCAACAGCCCCAGCAGCAGCCTCGACAGCAGCAGCCGCAGCAGCAGCAGAGGCTGCCTCAGCAGCAGAGGCGAGGACAGCAGGCTCAGGTGTATGCAGTTGAGCAAGCTGAGGCAGAGCAGAACCCAGGTACTATGTCTGGAATGATTGTTTTGAATGATGTACCTATATTTGCTCTGTTCGACACTGGTGCGACGCACTCTTTTGTGTTGAGCCGATGTGTGGAGGCCATTGGAGTTCAGCCCATCAACACTGTTGACCCTCTCGAGGTGAGTCTAGCCTCGGGAAAGAAAATAGTGATGAGCTTCAAGGCCGAGGACCTTAACCTTAGTATTGGCGGTCGAATCCTGAAGACCGAAGCTTATGTTATCGAGATGAGGAATTTCGACCTCATTCTCGGTATGGATTGGTTGACGCATTATCGAGCGGACATTCGTTGCCATGATCGAGAGGTCATTCTTCATCTTCCGAAGGACAGTCAGATCACCTTTTTCGGCTCGAAGACGCGAACCCTACCTCGTGTTGTTTCAATGGCGAAGGCGAGGAAGATTCTGCGCAGAGAGGATTGTCAAGGTTACCTGGTGAGCCTTGTTGATGAAGGATCGAGAGCACAGACACCTCACGATGTTCCAATTGTTCGTGAGTTTGTGGATGTGTTCCCGGATCAGCTACCAGGAGGACCACCCAGCAGGCAGGTGGAGTTCACCATAGACCTTGTTCCAGGAGCGGGACCGGTGTCTAAGGCGCCTTACCGTATGGCTCCGAAGGAGTTGCAGGAGCTGAAGACGCAGATCGAGGAGTTGTTGAAACTCTGTTTTATCCGACCCAGCGTCTCACCTTAGGGAGCACCCGTCCTATTCGTCAAGAAGAAAGACGGATCCATGAGAATGTGCATCGATTACCGGGATCTCAACTGGTTAACGGTGAAGAATCGACCGGAGGGGCCGATTCTTCCTTTGCTCAAGTCCCTACCGAGCTCCTCGACTTTATGATTTTGTCTCTTGTCTCGACCTAATTCTATCTATTCTACCTATTACAGTATTTATAGCGTCTAATTCTATTACATATTTCACAAATAAATTCACATATTCATTTGCCAAGCCCAAAATTAGTTTAGATTACCATGCCCAACTAATTAAATCCCAGCGCTTAGGACCACAAGAAAACCTTATCTTTCTTCCCTTAGGTATCCTCGCGCAGCTAATTGTGTGGTGGTAGAACACTCCCCAAATCACAGATTTACTACACTTTTCTGCTCGCCTTTTACGGTTAACATGTCGGGGGTCGAAATTCCGGGTGCGGTCGACCGGGGCTGGGGCTGAGATCGGCGATTTAGGTGCGGTTGGCCGTGACGGCGACTGAAATCGGCGATCTCGAGCGTGGCTGATCATGGAGGATGACGAGGTCGGCAATTTGTGGTGTGGATCGGAGTTTGGCGATTAGCGGGGGTAAATCGGAGGTCTCGTCAGCGGTTTGGTGAGGTCGGCGATTTGAAGTGTTGGTCGGAGGTCGGCTCCGGCGGTTTGGAGCTCGTCGGCGGGTGAGGAAGCGAGCTCGGCCGCCGGTTGTGTGACTGAGTCCGGCCGGCGGCTGTGATGCGACCTCAAGGAATAAAGTTTGTCCCGCCGATTGTGAGGTCGGCCCCGGCAGAGTTCGACTCTTGCGAAGTCGGGCCCCGGTGGCTAGTTTTGAGGTCGGCACAGGCCTGGTCGGGGAAGTTAGGTCGACGCCGGTAGTGAGTTTGGGGGATTTCTGTGGTGTAGTGTGGTCGTCCTAAGGCGACGAGGTCGGTGCGGGCCCCAGTTGTGAGATGAGCCCAGCGGCTTGAGGATGGAGAGGCTGGAGTTGGTCCTGGCCGGGTTGTTGTGAGGTCGAACATGGTTGGCCGCGAGATCGGGGATGGCTAAGCGGCTCCCGGTTGACCGTGGACTGTCACGAGGTTGGCCACGGGCTATATTGAGGTCGGCCATTGGTTGTGGTGAGGTCGGTCATGGCTGTGGCCGGCTTCGGGTCGGCCGTGAGCTGTTACNAGGTCGGCCATGGGCTGTGTTGAGGTCGGCCATTTTTCATGGTGAGGTCGGCCATGGCTGTGGTCGGCTTCGGGTTGACGTGAGCTGTTACGAGGTCGGCCACGAGCTATGTTGAGGTCGGCCATTGGCCGTGGTGAGGTTGACCATCGCTGTGGTCGGCTTCGGTTACGTAAATCGATTTTGGTCGGACCTCAGTGGTTTGGGTGACGACCATAGGAGCGAGGTCGGCCATGGGCCGCAAAGCCGGAGACGTCGGGTCGGCATGTCGGGGTCGGCCACGGTGGTTGCGACTTTGAAACCTGTCTGGCGGCGAGGGAGTGAACTCAGCCCGACAAATTCTTTGCACCGGCATGGACTTTCGTCTGGGGGCACTCAGTGGCCGCTCTTTGGTTTCTGCTGTTTGCTTCTTTTTTTTTATTAGTTTATTATTAGATCTGGATGTGACGTAAACAGTATTATTTTGACATGAGCAGTGTTTGTAACGTGGCTTCATATTGTCTACTGACAGGAGCAGTATTTGTAACAGGGCTTCGTATTGTCCAAGCAAGTAGTAGTATTTCTTATTCAACCAGACGAGAAGAAGGGGACAGAGAAAGAAAAAGGAAAAATGGACTTTGCGTGAAACCACAGCAAGCTAACCAAACTCATCTTTCCAAATATTTTATGTGAGATCACTTTGGTTTACTAAAAGAGATTTCCATTTACTGAAAATCTTTGGCAACAAGAGAGCAAAATGATTGTGGATTTTTGTAGAAAAATTCTATGGCAGAAATGGAAAACTGAAGATTCTATTGCAGACGTAAAACGGAATTTTCTTAGTGAAATTCTAAGACTGCAGATTGTAGTGGTGATATTATTTTTGCCATACAGCATACTTGATCTATATTCATAAGAAAATGGGAAGAAAAATGCAGAGGAAATTAGGATGAAACACAAACTTGATGAAATTATTCTCCAGTTGAGAGGTGGCCGTTTTCCGGCGAAAATTGACTCCGCGCAAATTACGGAGCCCTTCCTTTAGCGCCAAACTAATGATGTCGAAAATCGGACGATCAACTGTTTAATAAAAATTGAATTTATTGAATGAAAGATGAAGAAGAAATGATCAAAATGACTTTTTTTTTTCCTTCATTCTTCATTTTCTTCTCCTCAACTACAAAAAAGAGAGGAAAAATTCTCTATAAGAGAAATAAGAGAAAACACCATTTTGATCATTTCTTCTTCATCTTTCATTCAATAAATTCAATTTTTATTAAACAGTTGATCGTCCGATTTTCGTCATCAACAGATCCCTTGCTCGGTGACAATGTAACCTAAGAATCGGCCAGTTTTTACGCCGAACTTGCATTTTGCAGGATTTAACTTCATGCCATGCTTCCACAGGGTAGTGAGTGTTTCTCTTAGATCATTGACGTGATCCGCTGCTACTCTACTCTTGACCATCATGTCATCAACGTATACCTCCATGTTTCTGCCGATCTGTCCCTCAAACATCCGATCGACTAAGCGTTGGTACGTGGCACTTGCGTTCTTCAATCCGAATGGCATGACAACATAACAATACGTTCCTTTTGAGGTAACGAAGCTGACTCTCTTCTGCTCCCCTTTCGCTAGCGCAATCTGGTGGTAGCCTTGTGACGCGTCCATCATGTTGAGGAGCTCACATCCTGCCGTTGAGTCCACCAGTTGATCAATCTGGGGTAACGGGTAATGATCTTTAGGGCAGACTTTATTCAGATCTCGAAATTCTATGCACATCCTCCATTTGTTCAACTCCTTCTTCACCATGACTGCATTTGACAACCATTCTGAGAACTGAATCGGTTTAACATGCTCTGCTTGCAGCAGCTTGTTTACTTCTTGCTCAATAACTAGGTCCAACTCGTGTCCAAAGCGTCTACGTTTCTGCTTCACAGGTCTCACCCTCTTGTCGATGTTCAAATGGTGTACTGCCAGGTTTGGGCTGATACCTGTGAGTTCCTCTGGGGTGAAGGCAAAGACGTCTACGAACTCCCTCAGCATTTGTATCATCTTCTCTTGTATTTCTTGTGAAAGGTCCTCTCCGATGCGAGTAGTCTTTCCTTCCACACCCTCTACCAGTTCGATCTCCATCAGCTCGTCTTGTGTGGTCATCTCCACCTTTGGTTATTTCTCGGGTTGATCCTCCTTCCCATCGGACCGATCCTTGCCCTCCTCCCTTCTTCCGTTAGATTGTCCGTCTTTGAGTGTGACCTGATAGCACCTTCTTGCGATTTTCTGATTGCCAACGACCTCTCCCACCTTTTCACCGACTGGAAATTTCATCCTCATGCAATACGTCGAGATGACCGCCTGAAAGGTGTCGAGGCTTGGTCGCCCCAGTATGACGTTATATGCTGAATTTGACTCCACTACCAAAAAATGGATCATCTTCACTTGTCTAAGGGGTGGTTCTCCCAATGCCACAGGTAGCGTCACTTCACCTCGAGGGATAACTTCGACGCCACTAAAACCATACAAGGTCGTTCGCACCGGTTGTAGTGACAATCCCAGTTCCATTTTATCTAAGCAATGCGTAAAGATTATGTCTACCGCACTCCCCGTATCCACGAAGACCCGCTCCACATCATAGTTCGCTATCTCGGCCGTGACCACCACCGCGTCATTATGTGGCTTAGCAACATCCCTGAGGTCTGAGGGTCCGAAGTGCATGAGCGGTATTTTCTCTGCGATTTGCACCTCTCTGCTTTGTCTGTCCTTGTCGAGAGATCTTGCGTGACGCTTCCTTGCTTGGTTGGAGTCTCCATTCGTAGGTCCACCCGATATCATGTGGATCACCCCTTTCTTCTTGGGTGTCGGGTTGGTCTCCTCGTCGCGTCCCCGCTTCTCCACTTCTTTCTTATCTCTCCCTTGGTCTTTATCCCTCAAGACGAACTCCTTAAGATGTCCAGCGCGTATCAGCCTTTCTATTTCATCTCTCAACTCCTTGCAGGTATCCGTGCTATGTCCATGATCCCTATGGTATCGACAATAAGCATTCGACAACCTGCTCAGTGGCATCCCATTCCTTTTCGGGAGGGGTCGAGGTCGATCTAGCCACGATAAGTTACCCTTCCTTTCTAGCACTTCGAAGACTTGCTCCCTCGTTGCAGCCAGTGGCGTATATCGGTCGAATCTTTGTCCTGGCTTCCAATGTCTTTCCTCTACTTGTTTGCCTTTGCGTCCTCCTCGGCAGTCATCACCTCGGGGAGGTTTTCGTTCATCTATTCTATCTTTCTCCTTCTTAGGTTCACGCTATATAAAATCGACCTGTGACTCTTCTATGTTGATGTATTTGTTACAGCGTCCTAGCAACTCATCATAGGATTCAGCTGTTCGCTTGGCCAGCGAGTCTCTAAATGGACCCGGTCGTAACCCTCTCGTTAATCCTTCAGCTTTGATCTCCTCCGTAGCCCTCGGCACCTCGATGCACTCTCGCGTGTACCTGTCTACGTACGCTCTTAATGGTTCATTTTCCCTTTGCTGCATGTTGATTGACGATAGGTAAGTTTTCTCGTGTTTTCGAGTGCTTGAGAACTGGTTGACAAACATCGAGCGGAATCCCTTGAAGTCCTTTATGGTTCTAGGTGCCAATTGATGGAACCAATCTTCGGCCGGTCCTTTCAACGTGGTTAACAGAGCTCGACAGCATATTGGATCGTTGTACTTGTGTAACAACGCTATGTTTTCGAAACTTCTCAAGTGCCTCATGGGATCAGTCGACCCATCATAGTATATTGCTAGCTTGCGGAACCCAGTCGGCAATTCAGCGTCGATCACGTCAGCTGTGAAGGGATGTCCATGGATCGTAGGCCCCAAACTTCTGCTTCCGACTTTCTCCTGCAGCTCGCGAAAAGTTGCGCCGCCATCTGTTCTATCAACGGGTCTCGGCTCGCCGAAGAGATGGGGTCTCGCCTCGTTTGCGGTGTGGGTGCAGGTGAGTGAATGGATCTTTCCGCTTCAACCTCCCTTGACCCTTCGTGCTGCTCCGCGGTTCGAACATGTTGTTCCACAGGTTGAATTGGCTGCTCCACAGGTCAAACCCTCCCCCCTGCTGGTGAAGGAGTGCGCGCCGCTACCGCATCCGCAATCATCCTCTCTAGCTCTGATCTAGTGATGTGCAACGTCGGTTCAGGGGTGCTAGGTTGATTTTGAGGATTCACCGCCGGTCTTTCTCATCCGCCTGTTGTTACCGGAATGTTGGGTGTTTCCATATCCATCGTCACTTGACGTCTAGCCTCTAGAGCCTGCGTCATAGGTGGTTCATCGCCGGGAAGCCATCCCCGCGATGGTCCAGCTCCCATTGGCCGGATGTGCAGCCATGACGTATCTTCTTCTTCCTCCCTGCGAGGTGTGTCTTTGTCTCCCATTTCTATTTACCAAATGAATTTCTTTGTTGTGAGAGTACCACCAAGCCGCCGGTTGAGCTGGGGTCCCACAGAAGGCGTCAATTTGATAAGGTTCCGAGTAAGTCGCTTCGGTTCAGAATGGTCCTTGGTTCAAGGGTGCGTCTTCCTTTTTTCGGTTTCCGGTCTGAGATGAAGCTCGTGAGTACCTGCAAAGTACGCCGGAGGTTTTCCGGCGTAAAACCCTCCAAAGCTTAAGTCAGTATTTGGGAGACGAGTAAAGAAGAAGATGAACAGTCATGGTGTTTTGGTAGTTGGATAATAAATGTAACTTGAATGTTTCTAACACTATTTCCGTATATATAGGCAATTATCACTTGAATGGTTATCTTAAAATATTATATTAATTCTCGGTTATTCATGAGGTCGAGGATCGAGATGTGATCGAGCCTCGGTTATTCTTTTGGGATCGAGCCTAAGAGCTCGATCACGTGAGATAGAAGGCCGAGTCATCGAGCCTAAGGGTTCGATCACATGAGCTCGAGGGTCGATCTCCTTAAGCTCGATCACGCGGCTAGGCCGATTTCGAGGGTCGCGACTTCTATCTGGGGCGGTTCGATCTGCGCGTACTTATATCCCTATCACTCATACTTATAAGAAACTCGTTTTAAGTCATTGATAATTGTTTATTTGCGTTGTTTGAGAATCATTAGTTGATAATCGAATCTAAAACCATCTGATTAAAGGGTTTAGAAATTTGTGTTCTCTTTCGTGTGATTGAATAATCGTGCAAATTAATCCTTCCTTGCGATACGATACGGGAATTGAATTCATTTGATTTAACTCCGGTAAAATTCACCCATAGTGAAGAAAAGTAAAGTAGGAAATCGAACAGATATGTTGGTGGGCAACAAAAAGGCTCCAATAGATCCAAGAGGCATATGCATAAAACAGAGAAATATACTGGAATAAAGACCGTTAGTAAATTGGGAAATGTAGGTAAATATAAAATTGTGACAGATTGAGGATTACTGCCTACAATTATTTGCTCAAATATCTACCTCCCTTTCTTCATTATATTTTATTTTACTGTGTCTTAGGAGATATGTGAATTTTATTTAGAAGACAAAACAGAGGCCAGCCAAAGACGAGAAGAAAGGAACACACAAGAAAAATTGCAACAGCCAACCAAAAGTTGTGAAAGAGTGGGGTATCATAATAATAATAGCAATACAGTATACAGACACATATCTAAACTGTAGGAATAATAATATCAGTTGGGCAGCGGCTCCCAACAGGAGATGGCATGAGACACACGTCCTTTCCATCCCTGCAGCATCCATTCCCCATCCTCATCCACCGAGAAGTCCTTGTGATAATCCCTCCTCACTTTACCCCTCACGTACCTGACAATCTCCTGATCCAGAGGGAGCTGTCTGAACCCTGCCCTCACACTCCTAACTTGCCACTGCCTGTGAGTCTCCGGCCTCTCTATCCTCTCCGTTCCCTCGCAGGCTATCACATTCATCACGTCCCTCCCAAACATCTGCTCCTCAAAAAGCTGCCTCAACTCATCTTCCTCCTCCCGTGCCACAGTCTCCTCAAACATATCAAACATGGACGAGAAGTGGTAGAGCGCCTCTCTGAACCTTGTGACGAAGAAGGGCGTGTTGTACGTCCCGTACGCCACTCCCTGAACAAATATGCGCGGCTTTATCTCCCTCATCAGCTTCAGCACCGCATCCCTCGGGCTGCCGTCCGAAATCACCGTCTCGTCCTCCACGTTGTGAAGCCGGTACAAGCAGTTGACCGCAACTACCTCATTCTCTTCGATCCCCAGATCCTCGGCCCTGACAGTCTCCCACCTGCACGCCATTGCCTTGTACTCGAATGGGACTCCGAACCTCTCACAGTATCTCGCAAGGCGCCGCCCTGTGTCCTCCACGCGCTCTGCCGGACGAAACCCCGGCTGGGGGAAGTCGATACCCGTGATCCGGAGCCTGGGGGGACCCCCGGGCCTCTCGGATAGGCCCTTGATGAGGCATGGCCACTGGAACCCGTAAAGGATCCCAAAGTCGATGACATGGAGAACTGGCGCCCCCTCAGAAATTTTCCCGATCGACTTGTTGGCAAAAAGGTTGGACATCTTTTTGAAAGGGCTGGCTGAGATGGCCATCTTGTAGGCTCTCAGGACATCGGCCGCGGATATCCTCTTGGAGATGATGGCAGCGTAGAGTTCGGTCCCTGTGCCGGCCAAACGGGCCTCAATGGCATTGGCAAAGTAATGGGCGAGCCTCTCTGTGCCGTCACCGCGTGGGGAGGAGTGCCGCCTCACCCGAGAGAGCAACTCGTTGGCTGTCCGGATGTCAAAGGCCGATGCGGCCTGTGCGCACTGCACTAAGAGGCTTGTGAGGTCAACCGTGTCACAGGCGATGCTCCCGTGTTTCTTCTTGCCTTCTTTTCTCGGCCGTCCTCTCTTTGGTCTTTCCTTGAAAATTGGTGATTTCTTATTCGAGTGGGAATGGGATGGTAGCTGCAGCGTGCGGTCCGTGGTGGAACACAGCAGCACATTGTCGTACATCTCTAGCGGTTCGGGTTCGTCTGCACTGCTGCTCGCGAATAGCTTGTTGCTTGGTTGATCCGCAAATTCGACGCGTTCTGTAAGGCGGTCTCTCTTTTCTACATGGCTGTTCGTTTTGTTATGTTTTGGTTGCGACTGGTCGTCTCTGACAAGAGACTCGAAATCGGGCTCTGGAAAAGGGCTGTGATCAGAATTGTTGTGGAGGGCGTCGTACAAAGATTTCTCGGTGGCTTGGAGAGCCAAGCAGTCGTGGAGCATGTACGGCTTCTTCTCCAAGTCTTCCTCCTGCATCAGCATCTCGGTTATGAACTTGAAAATTGTATCCGAATGGTCGCTCTCTATCATACCCTCTCCCTCAGACAGTGAGGATCCATCAGCCCGAGATCCGTATGCTGGGTAACAGGGATTCTGGGAATTTTCCTCCTCAGATGAGGAGCTGTATCCATTGGTGATGGGAGAGACTTCATTGGAGAATATTGTTTTTGTTGGGTTCAAGTATCCCTGGACTATAGTTTCCATCCAATATCCAACAAAAATGATATTTGTGTCGTTTTATCTCTAATAACAAGAATGTTAAAAAGAGTAAATGCAAGCTTAAAGCACACGCCTGCTGACAGCTTAATCTCCTACGCCAGGTGGTTCCTCACCAGTAACAGCTTTGAAATACTTTCTGTAATGAAAAACAAATAAAAGAAACAAATTGACACTGTGTGGGCTATCAACTATGAGATCCTAATTATAGGCTTCCCTGAAATCAAATGTATTTTGGACAAACATGATGGATTATCAGATGGGGAAAATTAAATACTCTACGATAAATGAAAAAATAAATATATTTATCAGTTGATTACCTTGAAGAAGAAGATATTCATTTCTGGCAATCAATCAAATAAAGGCGACAAACGGCGCAGTTTTGATCGCCCGTTTAGAATTTGATAATGAACCCAAGGAGATAACTTGGTATTATAGGCTTATAGCCAATTCATTCATTCATCAGAGGTGAAAAGGACCAAGGTTTAGCAGAAGGTTCAAGGAAATGGAGTATTAAGTAATTTAGTAAGAATGATGGTCATTGGTCAACCATCAATTATTAGGCTTTGCAACCCAAGATTGAAATATTACTAGATAATTGATTCTGCTTATTTAATAATCAATCATCAGTGATAGTCCCACTTAAATCCATTAACCTGCCCATTATCCGTCAATTCAAAGTGACTCGTAATCAATGAGATCACCCATCTTTTCGAGTAAAAAAAATAAAAAATTGGCTGGTTTTTTTTCTGAAATAGGGATGGCAAAACGACGTGGAATTGGCCCGATCTGACCTGACCAGATGCATTTGGGGCAGAGCAAATTTTCCCCGTTTCTATGACGGGTCGGGCCAGGTTCGCCCCGTAAACTAATCGGGCTAGGTCCGGGTCCTGTATCCCGCCTGCCTCACCTCAGTCTGCTTTTATTTTTTATATATATAATATAATTTATATATAATACATGTAAATTAGGGAATTGAGGTTACGTTTTTAGAATTCTATTTTGCTTGCACAGCCGCATCTCTCACTCACTCCTCGCCCGTCGCCTCTCTTCTTACTTAGTTCTGCCCGTCGCTTCTCTTCTCACTGCGTTCTCTCTGGCGTATCGACACACTCTCTTCTTCGCGCCTCGACGTCTCACATCTCAATGGGATAATTGATTTTTCATTGTATTGTTTCACTTTTATAAATTGTTCCAGGGAGAATGGATCGAGTTTTCTGAAATTTGTTGAGGTCTGCTTTTGGCTGCTTAAAAAATTATGGTTTTCTCTCTGCTTTCAGTTGTACATACTTCTTTTGGTGGTGTTGTTTGGTTTTTGTCTTTGGAAGGTTTGCGGAGCCAATGGCTATTGG